GATGTTGTCCCACAGAGGAGTGGGTTGCAGTAGGCATGGAGAACAACAATGTGGAGGTTGGTATTATTGTTGTTTTGTTGAATCTTCTCACGTACTTTGACCGGCTTTTCACTTTTGGCTGAAAAGAGGGGTTCAGAACAATAAATTCAACTTCTTTCCTTGCAGGTCTTGAATACAACTCGTACGGAAAAGTATCAGTTGCATCAACACGAATCATGTGTCCTATCGCTAAAGTTTGCTCACTCTGGACGATGGTTCGTTTCGACGGGGAAGGTATGTTCTTAGTCTATTTTTAGAAAGTTATAATGTAGAAAAGGGTTCGTTCCGCGCTTCTGGCTGAGTGAAAGTAAAGGATGAATGATGATGCTACTGAATCGCGATAGAGTTGACTTATTGATCCTGCTTACTTCCTTCGGGGCCAGATGTGTGTGTGAATCAAAGGATCAGAGGCACTATTTCACCCTTTACTGCCCCAATCTTCCAAAAACAGGCCAGTTTTTGACCGACTTTTTTCTGCGTTGGCAGAATTGGCTGAAAATTTGTTCCCTGGGTAGTTTGACCTCCTGAACATGAATATCACATCCGCTTGGCAGATAACAACACATCTCTCCTTTCTGCTACTTTACCCCCATCTCCGACCCCAATGGCACCCACCCTTAGAGACACACTGCGCGATCATCTGAGAGATGCAATTTTTCCTCATTTAAAAGGAGCGTCGATCCACAGCCGTCCAGGGTGTGCCACTATCACCACACGGAGTGGCCAGAACGCGAACAGCACCAGAAACCATGAACTACAAGTTTCGATGAAGCTACAGCCGTTGCAGTTTTGTAGCTCTTACTCGCTCTTGTTTACTCTCTATCATTGAGTACCCCTACGCCTTTGTTTGCCATATGGCTGTTGAATGCTAAAAGTCAGCCGGGCAACCTTATTTAGCATTCATGACGTTTTAGCGGTCTCTTCTGCTCGTTTCTTCAGTAAGAATTCAGTGAGCCCACGCAAGTTTGTTGTTTGTCACAAGCAAGTGAGCCGTTTACGTGTCGACCACACTCTACACATCACTTACCATCGCGGAATGTTTTTCAGGCGAATAGGTTGGGGGAAAGGGGGGGGGGTGGTTTGGAGGGAATTGGAAGCATATATTAATAGAGACGCTAATTGCCGAGCAGTGATACCCTTTCTGGGCGATATTTGAGTTCCAGAATCCTGTAAGGCGCGTTGTTTCCTGGGATAGTGGAATTTTAGGCACTAACAACCTTTGGCTGGAGGCATTCAAAGAACTTCTCGCTCCAGATTGTTTTTAAAGTCTTACAGGACTACCATTCTTGGAATTGCTTCTGGGCCTGCTTCTCCTCTTTATTCCTTAGCGAAAGTCTCCATCTGCGGTGCAACAATCCTTGTTCTACGCAAGGAGTCCTTTAAATGCCCATCCAGACTTTCAGGCACCAAATTTTCTTCATTCATTTTCATCAGTGCTATACGGAGCAGAATACAAATTATCGTTAGCTTTTGAGAAGTAACCCATCCCAGTAACCCCTATTCGAGGATATGTTATAGAGAAAATGTCAAATATTCATGCAAAAATTGTGTACTTGGAGTCGAGCACATCTCCGACGAAAAGGGATCGTGTTTTTGTTACGGTGCTTCGCTGGGGGAGTGAGAATGAGAAGGTGAATGGTAACGTAAGATTAGATGGGTTTTGCTTCCCTTGTGGCAGTCATGCCCGTGAACTTGCGGTGTTCTAAACTCTTTAATAATGGGTATTTTAGAGGCATATTCTGCTGATTGACTTTGTTATGCGCATAGTCTCCGCATCGCAACTCTGGAGGAAATGCCACCTTCATAGCAATACTGGGAAAGCGCGAGCAGGTAGCAGCAGAAGGATTTTAAAAAGTTCGGGCGTTTGCCGAGGCCACTCGGCTGTCGCCTTCTTGGCGCACGGCAACGCCCAACTTTTTTTAAAATTCCTTCCTGATGGTGCGGGAAGTTCCACTACTAAATCTCTCCATTTCGAATGGTGAAAACAAGGTAACAAGGAGAAAGAGCTGGTTCCAGCAAGTGAGAACTCGTCCGACCACGCTCATTATTCGCCATGCACGTAAGGTGCGGCTCCAGTCATAGGATTTTACATGAAATTTCGAGGGATATGCCGTTTGGACGGCGCTGACTTTTGGTGCCAGCTCATTTTGAAGTGCCTAAATCACCAAATCCGCTGAAATCTCGTATGTAAAGGTAATCTAACATCCTGTTCACGGCTATGACATTCATTTTTGGCGCTGGCGCTAATTGGAGGACACTACGATTATCTTCTGGGATTCAGCTTTCAGCAGAGGGCAGATAATCGTAATGTTCTCCATTAGCGCCAGCGTCAAGAACTCATAGTCGTAATCAGGATGTTAGATTACCTCTATATACAAGTTTTCAGCGGATTTGGTGATTTAGGCACTTTAAAAATGAGCTCGCAGCCAAAAGTCAGCGCGTCCAAACGGCATTAGCCCATTTCGGGCGGGTTTTCTCTCCTTTTTTTCTGAACTTTTGTCTTACCCACACAAATCACCGCAGCACACCTTTAACTCGTTTGATGTTCAGGACAATGTGTTGAACGCTTGGAGGACTCCTTATGGTGCATCGTTGTTACAAGCAAAGGAATCGTCGTCTGTGCTATCGTGTGACATAGCCAGTGACGACTCCCTGATTGTGACAGGATCAGGCGAGAAGAAGGCGACCGTCTACGAGGTGACGACGTACACTTGAGCTCTGGAAGCCATGAAGTTGTTGCTGATGGCCTGATCAGGCTGTAGTAAGTCGAAATAAGTCCTTGGATCGAGTCTCTTCAAGGACGTCTTATCAATTCTTGTCATTCATGCTGAAGCCTCGTTGTTGATTGTTGGTGCGAGTACATCATGTAACGTCAGAATTGATTGTGTGTATGCCCAATCCATTTATTTTTTTTCATGGTCAGATTTTCTTCCATCTCCATGTTTCATACTTTCTATAATTTTTATTATTATAATTTTATTCCATAGTTCCCTTGAGGTGAGTAAATTCATTGTGTTTTGGTTCTTTATGTATCCGACCCTCATCAACATACATAAATTGCCCTATTTGTAGCATTCCGCATTTCAGTATAGTATTTTTCTTCAGCTTGTAATCCTATGGTCTTTTTTCCGATTAACAAAATCATATTTTTTTGTTTTTTTCGTCCATTTTTTTTCTTGAAGTCGTATTTTATGATGTTTTACCGATTGGTTCAATCGATACGTGTTGCGGGCGCACTCCACGTGCTTATGATGATGATATATCGATTTATCCCTGTGCCGCATTCTCACTTCCGTTGTATCTCATTCCTTTGAAGCTTACGTCCAAAAGAAAAGGAGTCACTGACATCGTCGTTTTCTCTCCCTCTCTCTCACTCGAGTAATTGTTCTCTAGCCAGTATTTATGGCAGTTTTCCTCTAAATTACTGTTTTAATGTGATGGCGCGGAATGCTAACAGTCGACTCCGTTTGCAGTGGCACGAACCTGGACGTGGTCTTTGGTGCATTGTGCTGGTTTAGCGGTAGCAGCACATCCTGCAGTAACGACGTCTGAGTTCTACGATTGTCATTGTGATCGAAATCGACTGTCTTTTCAAAATGTTTCGCTGTGATGGTCATGAGATAAACTTAGCTGTGCACCTTTTGTCATCCTAATACACGTTTTCTTCTGAATAAGTTGCTTTATGGTTCGAAAGAAATTGCCCCCCCCCCCTTGCTAGTGTATGGAGTGTGAAGCTCAGATCATATCCATATAAGTAGAAGGGAGAAAATGGCTAAATAGGCTGTAAACAGCTGATCGCCGCTGTTGTGACGCGCCGCAGCCGCGTCTGCGACCGGTTACGGGGCTCTTGTCAACCAGACGTGCTCTCGCTGCGAGGGTCCAGGGGTATTTTCACGAGGCATCTACCAGTCCAGTAGTTGAAGGGAGAAGGTAAAGGAGGAGGGATCAGAGAAGAAGGAAGGAAGGAAAAGAAGGAAGGAGGAAAAAAAAAAAGGAAAGAGAGGAGAGGCATCCCGGTTGACAAGTGCCCTGAGACGGTCTGCGACCCTTTGACCGCCTAATCAACTGTCCGGATGACGACTGTAACTCCTCTAAAGGGGTTATGGGATTATTGACAGGGCAAGCCTCGTGATAAGTGGTCAACAAACGCTAGTCCAATATGGGTCTCACTATGCCTATAATACTTTTGCAGTTTAGGATGGGCATGTGACTGACTGTACAGCCACGCGGCGTCGCGCGACAATTGCAAATACCGTATGGTCACTATGGGCGCGCGCTCGCCGGTTGCGATTCATTATCGCGCAGTGACATTTTGCTATTTCGGCGAGCAGTATCAGTGCCAGGATTCCCTGCATCATAATTGCTATGGAATCACTCTGGTTATGCAAATAAAGAAAATCTAACGATCCAGGTCCTACCAGAGAGAAGAGTGTGGCTGAATACTGAAGCGAAGACAATCTAATTCAATGGCGCAATGAGTTTATCGCGAACGTGCGCTTCATTGCAAGTCTGCAGTGTTTGTAGATTACCACGCACGCGTCGTCGCGTGGTTCTAAAGACCGTCTCCCGGTCAGGACATACCAAGATGTCGCGTGATCTAACGACACTTCTTTTATCTTGCAGAAGGGGCTCCGGGTGAGTGAACTGCTCTGGGCGCTGTTTGCCTCTGTGAGGGCATTATGCTAATTTGCCGGATCTTTAGATTCATCACTTCGGCTAGACCTGTGAACTGTCGTTAACTCAGGGAGCTTGGTGAGCTCAATCATCAGGGCACGTACAGCCTTTGAGGAGAACTTTTGCAAAATAAGACTCCCTTCCTCATCCTACCTCCCATCCTCCTGAAATTCGCAAACCACCCTCGTAATTGACAATAGTATCCTAAGAGGTCTTCGAGGTTATGGCATGCCACAGCACGTGATATTGACGTATTAGACGGCGAACCCATACCGGATTAGAACCTGGAAAGGCTCACGCAGAAGCGGGATATCCTTTAGTATAATCTGAGAAGTACCAGATTGACGGAGAGCCATCAGTAGCCTCGCAGGAGTGAACTGTGAGCGAGTGGGACTTGATGAAGAGCTGAGGAGTTATGCGCTGCGACGACCAACAGAACGTAGTAGTAATTCCTTGCTATCAGTAGCCATGCTGCACCACATTCATGTTTAACAACTTAGGTTCTGGTGCAAATGCCACACATGTGGTAACTTTTGAAACCTCGCGTCATCGCGACATGAAACTCCTATGCGACATCCAGAGCTGAGCATTCCACATCGTTTTGGTTGCCACGGGGGCGTGTTCACGGAATTGGTTGTGCCGGTGAACGGTTACCGGCTCAGGCAGGGACCAAGCAGTGTCTGCCTCATATAGCGTTGGCGTACAAGAAAGTGTTGACGCAGGTCTAGACACTCTCTGCCTGGACAGGCAATTGTCCTCAGATGCGCTGTCAAAACTAAATCTGTGCCCTCTCCGAGCGTTGTGATGTGGACTGTGTTCAAGCTCAATGTCAGTATGTTGGCTCTATGATGTTCCTGTGATGATGATGATGATGGCTCTGTGATGGTGAGTAGCGCACAGAGCCCAGTTGCCGGCTAGGAAATTCACGTTTTGGTCATACGCCGGAACTGGCAGGGTATTCCCTAGTTATTTCGTTCCAGCACATGTCATAGCAATTCCACGGTCCTGGTGCAAATGCCGCGCTCGCGACGTGGAAGCGCAGCGGATGATATGCACGGTGCAAGCTGATATCTACATCCATGGAGCGAGCGTCAGCACTGGCGTCTTAATAAACTGCTTTCAGCTGCTTTCTAATTGTATTTCAGGACTGCGTCGATCAAAATCTTTACTACGTGAATCAGTTTCAACAATACGGATGGTATTCCAGATGTTGTCTTTTTGGCATACATTAGCCATTATTAATGTCAGAATGCCTTTGCTATTGCTTTTCTATCAATTCTGTTTTTTTAGCGATTTGTTGTGCATTTGATTCGCCTTTGAAGAGGGTATTCCAATAAATTGATTACATGGAGCTTAAAAAA